TTTTTTTTTTTTTTTTTTTTTTTTTTTGAGACGGAGTCTTGCTCTGTCGCCAGGCTGGAGTGCAGTGGCACAATCTCAGCTCACTGCAACCTCCGTTTCCCAGATTCAAGTGATTCCTCTGCCTCAGCCTCCCAAGTAGTTGGGACTACAGGTGCCCGCCACCACACTTGGCTAATTTTTTGTATTTTAGTAGAAACGGGATTTCACCATGTTGGCTAGGATGATCTCGCTCTCCTGACCTCTTGATCCACCCACTTTGGCCTCCCAAAGTACTGGGATTACCGGCGTGAGCCACCGCACCCGGCCTGCATCCTATTGTTACATACTTCTTTTCATCTCTGGGATGTATGTGATTGTGTCTTCACTCTCATGTTATACTACATGAAGGTGATAAGTTGTTCTGTTTGGGAAAAAAATAGGGAACTCTTCAGTGGAGTCCACACTGGGAATGGGCGCCTCCCCATCCTGGGGAGAGACTGGAACTTACCATGTGTCACTGCTAGACATCCTGGGGGAGTCCCGGGCATAGCCCACGCCCATGGCCTTCACCTGGGGCAGCAGGAGGGGCTGGAGGTTGTGACTGGGCCAGCCATGTAGCTGGGTCTGATCCAGTAGGGGAGGCTTGACTTAGACAGTGGGTGTGACTCTGCTTTTTCCACGTTTTAGACCAGAAATGCTGCAGAATCTGAGGCCCGGACACCATTTGGTCTTATTAAGGGTCACGCCTACACTGTAACGGGAACTGACCAGGTAGGCGACTTGAACTCCAACCGCAGGATGTGGGGAGATGTGTAACAATGCTGGTCCCTTAGGCATTTATTTAGTGCATTGCAGTTTAAATGTCTGCCGTTCAGACATTTCAGAGACTATGTCACCTGAATAGGCAGGCTGGGATTCGAAATGGCAAACCAGGAAAGAGAGAAACATGTGATTCCACCGCAGCACAAAACTCATTTAGCAGGTGTAAGTGCCTGGTCTTTGTTTTTAATTTCCTTTCTTTCCCAATTTACATCAGTCCTATGTTAGGATTGTCCAGAGAAATAGAATTACTAGGGAACCAAATATACACACACACACACACACACACACACACACACACACACACACACACCACAGTTGACCCTTGAACAACACAGGTTTGAATGTATATGGGAATTTTCTTCCATCTCTGCCATCCCCAAGACAGCAAGACCAACTTCTCCACCTCCTCCTCCTTCTCAGCCTACTCAACATGAAGATAAGGATGAAGACCTTTATGACAATCCACTTCCACTCAATCAATAATAAATATACCTTCTCTTCCCTATGATTTTCTTGATGATATTTCTTTTCTCTGGCTTATTTATTGTAAGAATACAGTGTATAATATAAATAACTATAAAATATGTGTTAATTGGCTCTTTATGTTATCGATAAGACTTCTGGTCAATGGTAGGCTATTCAGAGTTAAGTTTTAGGGAAGTCAAAAGTAACACAAGAGTTTTGACAATGCAGGAGGGTTGGCACCCCAACCCCCACATTGTTCCAGGATCAGCTATAAAAAGATTTATTGTAAGGTATTGGCTCATGCAACTGTGAAGAGTGAAAAGTCCCATGATCTGCTCTCTGCAAGGTAGAGACCCAAAAAGCCAGTGGTATAGTTCTGGTCTGAGTCTGGAGGGAAGGCCTAGCAACCAGGAACACCAATGGTAAAAGTCCCAGTCTGAGGGCAGGAGAGACTGATGTCCCAGCTCAGGCACCCAGGCAGAGAGAGTGAATTCCTCCTTCTCTGCCTTTTTTGTTCTAGTCAGTTCTTCACAGATGAGATGAGCCCACCCACACTGGGCAAGGCAATCTGCTTCACTCAATCCACTTAAATCTCATGTCACCCAGGAACACCCTTGCAGACACAACCAGAATAACCTTGAAGCAAATATCTGGGCACCCCATGGCCCAGTCAAATTGACGCATGAAATTAATCACCACGAGTCCCATTCTCTGTAGCTGTAGCCCAGGGTGAAACTGATCCCTGGAGACACCCAGACTTCACACAGCACCACCTTGACTTCAAGGGAGTGGTTGGTTACGAGGAGATATCCTTGAGGGACACGAGGGGAAGAGAAAGAAAGAGAATCAGATAAAAGAGGAAGGCAAGAAGCCAAAGGTATCACTCTCCCAGACTCAAGCTCAGCAAAGCCCAGAAGTCTGCCTTGCCCACTCCATGCCTCCCCTGGACCAGTCTCCAGCCCAGTACTTAGAAGGCACAGGTGCCCCTGGTCTTCTGTGGCCACCCACATTTTGAATGACATCCTCTGAATGTGTGGGGAGTCAAGAACACAGAAGGAAGGCCCTGCCCTTCCTTCTCACTAGAGCCAAGGTGTGAGAAGCAGGTAGGCTCTTTGAGATGCTTTAGAATGTCAGCTATTTGTGTTGGTTCCTTTGTCCTCCTTCCCCATCTGTAGATGCCTTGCAGATCACTCACTCAAGAGGGCATGTGATTTTCGAGGTTAGATCTTCTTCGTATTCCACCTAACAACAGAAACCTCCCATCATCTTTGTTTGCTTGATTTTGCTTTTTCTCCCCCTACAAGGAACTCACCAGCCCTGAACATTTCAAATTAAATAAGCCTTTTACATGGTGAGCCACAAGCCACATCTTGAACTCTGAAGAGCTGATGTTATTTGAATTTTTACACGTCCAAAATACTATTTATGCCAAATGCATGAGGATAAAACGTTCTGACTGCTACCGTTTCTGGTTAGTCGATAACTAGAAGTCTTTCACTTTCACTCTCTCACCTCCAAAACCCTTCTCAAATGTATTGGCCCTTGTCCCTGCTTCTGGGCAGAGAGCATGAGGGCACACTGGCTCAAGGGCAATCGAGGTGAACAGCAGGAATCCTCATAGACACCTGAAACAAGGAGACTATTGGGCTTAGAAGACATAAATGCTGTTTTTATTTATTGTTGTGTTTCAATTCCCAGAACATGCTTATTTTCTTATTATTCATCTGTGCATAGGATGCTAGGATGAAGAAAGTTCAGTAATAGTTCCAGGAGCACCTTTGAGGACTAGTCTTTACCATTCACTGGGATAGATGCTGAAGACGCCTAAGACTTGGCTCTTGCCTCTAGGGAGATCCCAGTCTAGAGAGAAACTCATCCATTTGCAGATTCATGTGGACTCATTTCATGTTAATTACAATTCTACTTTACTTCCCAGATGTGGCATAAGCATTTTGGTGCTTAATATAGTATCATTGGCAATACTAGCAATTATTCAATAGGAATTAGAAGATTCCAAGGACTGGTTAAGAACTGGTGAACTTTTACATACCTTCAGCAGCGTTTTAGCCAAGAGGCTTTCCACAAAACTGGTCCTGGATGGAGATGGTCCCCTCTGGAGCACATGGATGAATGTGGCCAAACCTCCACCATATTTATCATTTCACACTTCCCTCATACTTTTCCCTTCTAGGTAAACTTCCGAGGCCAGAAAATCGAACTCATCCGAGTGCGGAACCCTTGGGGCCAGGTTGAGTGGAATGGGTCATGGAGTGACAGGTTAGTCACCCTATCCCGCCAGAGAGGTGGGTTCCCAGGGCATGTGGGGCCAGAGCTGGCTTATGTAGACATGTGAAGGAGTGGCCTGTCTACGGTCCTCCTGGGCTCTGCCTCAGGATTCTGGGGTGGCCTTTCTTCTTCCCCTTTCAGTCCTCAAGCCGACCTTGCATCACACTTGTTTCTCAAGAAAGGCTTCTACAACAGCACTCTAACTTTTACAAATTGTATTTATGTCAATACGTAAATGTGTGGACATAAATACCAATGATGTGGTGAAAAGCTTTATCTGCAGTTGTGAGTAGCTCCAGTAAGCTCTGTGTGTGTGTGTGTGTGTGTGTGTGTGTGTGTGTGTGTATTTGGAGTGTGGGAATCCTTGGAATATTACCTAGCACATAACTGTAGGATTCTCTCTGATGGTCACTGACTGTGGTGGAGGCCTGATGGCCCAGCAGAGAAATAGAAGTGGGGCTGAGCATGGTGGCTCAGGTCTATAATCCCAACACGTCAGGAAGCCAAGGCGGGAGGATCACTTGAGCATGAGAGGTCCTGGCTGCAGTGAGCCATGACTGCACAACTGCATTCCAGCCTAGGCAACACAGAAAGACCCTATGTCTTAAAAAAAAAAAAAACATAAAGGAAGTGGAATTGAAATTTCACCTATTACAGAGCTGTTAACCAGAGTTTTGGCCCCTAGTTATAAAGAAAGGTCTGGATTTTCTGTATGTGTCCCCACAGCTCCCCCAGCTCTAGTCCCTTGGGAAGCGGCCCAGGTGCCTGGGAACCAGCGATGTCTGTGTAGGTGCGTGGCAGGGCCCGCCTGAAGCTCTTGCTCCTCCTCTGCCTCTGGGGCTCCTGAAGGCCTTTCCTGCCACACCCAAGGCCCTTGAGCTTCTGGGGAACTCTGAAGCTCATCTGGAACTTGGTTAAAACTGAGCCAGCGTTGTTTGCCCTCAGTCCAGACAAAGCTACCAGGTCACCACACATGGTGCAGCCGCTGCCGTGTTAGCCAAACCCCGACGTGAGGGCGGCACACACAGGCATGTGCTTTCCAGGCTGCCATCGTCCCCTGGAGGCTCTTGTCCCACCGTCCTTGGCTCTGGCCTTGGCTGCTGCCTTCTGAGAACCAAGAAGCACTGGCAGAGATGAGCTGAGACAGGCTGAGGAGGGAAGAGATTGGCCTCCCTCTCCTGGCAGAAATGGAAAGCGCAGAGAAATACTGAAAACAAAACTAGTGAGACTGCATCATGCTGGAAGATGTGTGGCGCCCCTCAATTTAGGAGTCTACAAAGGGAAAATGGGCCATGATCTCCCCTTTTCTGGGACTCACAGAGGTAAAAACAAAGAAAGCAGCTGGACGTGGTGGCTCACGCCTGTAATCCCAGCACTTTGGGAGGCTGAGGCAGGTGGATCACCTGAGGTTGGGAGTTTGAAACCAACCTGACCAAAATGGAGAAACCCCGTCTCTACTAAAAACGCAGTAGTTTTTTAGCCAGGCGTAGTGGCGCCTGCCTGTAATCCCAGCCACTAGGGAGGCTGAGGCCAGAGAATCACTTGAACCTGGGAGGCAGAGGTGGTGGTAAGCCGAGATCGTGCCATTGTACCCCAGCAAAACACCACAAGAAAAGAGAGAGAGAGAGAGAGAGAGAGAGAGAGAGAGAGAGAAAGAAAAAAAAAAAGAAAAAGAGAGAGAGAGAAAGAAAGAGGGAAGGAAGGAAAGAAGGGAGGGAGGGAGATGGGAAGGGCAGGCAAGCAGGAATTCTGACTGGGGGCCAAGGCTAAAATGAAGTTTGTCTTCCACTCACGCAGCCTCCATGGGTGATGGGGGGGCAGGAGCCATCCTGACCCACTGTCTTCACTGTGCTGCTGGTGACCATGAGCAGGGTTGAAGGCACTGCGTGGCCAGCCTGTCAGGCTGACTATCTGGGTTTGAGCCACTTAGAGGATAATGGCTCCAAAAGCACATAACGGCTGCTAATTCCACCCTTCTGACCCTGGCCCATGTGCCTAGAGAGGGTCCTGCTGATCCTCCCCTCTGATCTCCTGAGCACTCACTCCCCTGAGGCTGAGTGGAGATCACAGGGTGAGGGGGAGCTGCCACATCGGCTGTAGCACCACTAGAGTGGTCATATACTTTGAACTATTTGGAAGTGGTTGTGGGGGTCACAGAAAATGCAATGAACTTGGAGTCATAATGCTGAGTTTGGAGGGTGATGGGCAGTCACTCCCGCCCCTGCTCTTCACTGAGCGCATGTCCATGGGCCCCCCTGAGCTCTCTTGTCTGCACGACGGGCACGCCTAGCTCACAGAACCCCACCTGACTTGCTAGTGAGGTCAAATGCAGAAGGTGCCTGGCACAGACAATAGCAAGCATAGGCATTATCACTTTTCCGAGTGTCAGCTTACCCACTAAGAAGAGAGCCCAAGTGCTGCTCCAGGTCACATGGGATTTGGAGGCCAGGCACGAACGTCCATGGGCTTGTGGCTTCCAGCTGGGCCCTTGCTATCCCTGCTCGCATGCAACACCTTGTGACCGTCCCATGATAATCTTCCATGTCGGCGGTTCAAATCATCCTCAGAGGCATTTTATCCATCAGCAGCGCTTGGAGACGTACTTTCTGACCAGCCCTCTTATCTGGGGGCCAGGGGCTCAGCAGCCGCTGCATCCCTGGGTGCATTTCTGGGACCCAGTGAGTAGTCACTGAGCGGGACTTATTTCCTCCAACACTGCACGCTGTGGGCTCCGCATCAAGGCCATTATGACTCTTCATGACCTCTGCCTGAACACCGATTTGTTTACTCCTAGTTCTCCAGAGTGGCGTTCTGTTGGTCCAGCTGAGCAGAAGCGTCTGTGTCACACTGCTCTGGATGATGGAGAATTCTGGTACAGTGCTTGTTCCTGTGTTCACTGCAGATACGAGCAAGCCCCATGGCCCTGGGGTGTAAGGAGCACCACGTTTCTCTCTCTCTCTCCCCCTACCCACCCCCCACTTTTTCTTTCTTGTTGCCCAGGCTGGAGTGCCGTGGTGTGATCTCAGCTCACTGCAACCTCCGCCTCCTGGGTTCAAGTGATACTCCTGCCTCAGCCTCCCAAGTAGCTGAGATTACAGGCATGCACCACCACACTCAGCTCATTTTGTATTTTTAGTAGAGAGGGGGTTTCACCATGTTGGCCAGGCTAGTCTCAAACTCCTGACCTCAGGGGATCCACCTGCCTTGGCCTCCCAAAGTGCTGGAATTGCAGGTGTGAGCCACCGCACCTGGCCTTTTCTCTCCCTTTCTGGCAAATCAGATTTATCTGTCTCAGACCTCTCATATATACCCAGACTAGAAAGAAATTTAATCTCCTTCCTGTCTTGGTGGGGGCTCACCTCAGCTCTCAGCTTGCTGAAGAGTCTTCAGGGGTTTCCTGCAATCCAGTGGAGGAAGACCCTCTGGTGTCCAGCCTCACACCCCTCCTTGGAGCTCTGTTATCCAAGTTTACACAGTGAATTTGAAGACAGGCAACCATGCGGCTCACAGGGTCCATCCCCTCCACGCCCACCTTGGTGAGAAGGACCTTTGAAGGCAGCTGCCCTGAGGACACCTAAAGATACAGACCTAAGTGGGAAGGAAACATTTCTACTGTGGACTTTCCCTTGGCCTGAATCTCTTTGTTTAATTGAAAATGTATACTGAGCCTTCATCGTTAGAATCTTTTACAGTCTTTTCTTCCTGTTTGGGATCTAGAAATTGGTCCTTCTAACCCTGCAAGACCCAATTTCTGGGTTCTGGCTCTGTTCCCTTCCATGTGCTCCAAGTGGTCAATTCTTGCCTAAGCTCATCTCTTTCTTGTAACAGCTTTTAAAACACAACAACCCAAACCATGAATATTCCAGCTTTTTCCATTCTTTTCCCATATAGCACAGCCTCGGTAGTAACTTGTTCCGCCTTCTGTATTTTGACAGTTGTCTTAGTCTATTTTGGCGGCTGTAACAAAAGACCATGGACTGGGCGGCTTACAAAGAACAAAAACTTATTTCTCACAGTTCTAGATACCAGGAAGTCCAAGGTCACGGCCCAGGCATTTTTGATTTATAGATGGATCCTTCTCCCTGTGTCTTCACATGGTAGAAAGAGGGCAAGGCAGCTCTCTGGAGCTTCTTTTATAAGGGCACTAACCCCATTCATGAGGGCTGCACCCTCACAACCTAGTCACCTCCCAAAGGCCCCACCTCTTAACACTATTACTTTGAGGGTTAGTATTCAACATATGAATTTAGGGGAAGCCACAAACATTCAGTCCATGAAAACATGCAGCAGATTTACCCAATGTTTTACCACGGCACAACATAGATATCCATTTTCCAGCTCTGGTAGCTCCATGTTCCCTCCCGCCCAAGTGCTAACATATTTTAGAACTTTGTTACGGCGGTTCTGCAATTCAAGTCACTGATAGCTCAAGGTAACACTAGCTGCAGTGGTGAATAGGCTCCAAATGTATAAAGCTCAAACACAGCAGAGTTCTTTTCTCCCTCATTGTGACAGTCCAGGCAGGATGTTCACGTTCTGTGCGTGGCACTGTTCACACAGCGATTCAGAGACCTAAACGTCTTCTGTTGTGTGGCACTGCCATCTTCTAGGGTCATATGGTCATCTGCACACAGCCAGAAGTAGAGAAGAATTTAATGACAAATTGAAGAAGACACTCCTGCTTTCTAAAAACCTTGACTCAGAAGTAAACACATCACTGCTCACATCCCACCTCCAAGTGGAAGGATAGGGTGCAGTCCTGTGCTGGTGAATGCCAGACATCTCTGCCTCAGCAACCAAGAGGGTTTAAGTTCCCCAGACTTGTGGAAAACCTGCAGGTTGGCTTGAGAGATTCCCAAGCTGTCACATTAGCCATTACAGATGAACTTTGAATTTTGAAGTACAGGGGCTTTGAGTTAGGGAGTCACAAGAGAGGAGCAAAAGCTGCAGGAGGAGAGCTGAGGTCTGGAACGAGCATCACCACGGGAATTGCTGTGCAGGAGTAGGAGGTAGACTAAGCCAGCATTTGAGAGGCTGCCTGAGGTCAGGCTGGTGGAAGGAAGGTCTGGTGCAGAAGGTGCCCTCCTGGTGTTCCAAGCACCTCTCTGCCTCAGGGCCTTGCTGCCCATCTGCCTAGACTCCCAAAAGAGCTGCTTTGCCCAGTCCCTGGAGGTGCAGGTCTCCACTAGCGGTGCCCATCAGTAAGGCTTTCGTTTACCCCCTGTTTAAAATAGCATCCCGCCCCTATGCGCCCATCCTTCAGCCCGATTTGATTTTTCTCTGTAGCACTTAGCATCTACAATCAATCTATATTTTTACCCTTGTTTTTACCTTTTTAACCTTTCTTTTACTTTAAAAAATTTTTCCGTCTCCCCACACCTTGCAGCCCCCCCACTCCTTGCGGACAGGAGCTCGATGATTTGTGGATGAGTAATGAATGATGCCCTCATCATCGCCCTCCTGTGCATCGTGTCTCTCCACTTTGTTGCAGGATGGCATTTAAGGACTTCAAGGCCCACTTCGACAAAGTGGAGATCTGCAACCTTACTCCTGATGCCCTGGAGGAAGATGCAATTCACAAATGGGAGGTGACAGTCCATCAGGGAAGCTGGGTTCGTGGCTCCACAGCTGGGGGCTGCCGCAATTTCCTGGGTAGGTAGGCTGCCTGTCACTCTCTCTGCCACTCCCAAATGTCCGCTGCAACCCAGAGACACCGAAGGATAAGGGCCGGGTCCTCAGAGAAAGCCTGAAACACAGACAATAAGATTTCAAAAGTGACTGGGAAAAGAAGGCTGCACAGATTTCGTTGGATAAGAATTGTTTTAGGGTCACTGCTTCGTTTTACCACTTAGGTCATTTTCCATTACAAGTAATAGAAAGCATGACTTATGCCAGTTTAGCAATAGAAAGAATTATGTCACATAAATGTAGAGCTCAGAGGGAAGGTAGGGTGGGCTTCAGATACAGCTCTGCCAGGGCTCTGGTTGCATTTGCTTGTAATTCACTGCTCTGTCCTCTTTTCTGTGTTGACTTTTCTCTGTCTGCTTTCTTTATAATCACAGAAGGGCTGGCAGCAGTATCCAGGGCTTCCTGAGCCCTCATTCACATGAGCAGCAAGAGCTTCTAGGGGATATCAAACAAAAGTCCTCAACTTCCCTCTTATTGGAAATTCCTTGAACCAGTATTGCCCAGTGGATGCTATACATTGGTTGGCTTTGTGGCAAGAGGGACTGGCATAGCCCAACAAGAATTCATGCTGGAGCAGTGATCGGGGTCAATCCTACTCAAACTGCCCACCAGCAAGTAGATGCTAGCGGGACAACCAGAAGTCCACTACACTCTCCTTTGAAATACGAAGCGGAAAAATAAAAACGATGGAACAAACTTTAGCAGAGTAGACCCAGAATGTCCTTAAAAAGCTGCATGGGAAATGGTTGAAGAGAAGGTGAAAATGAAAGACAGGATACTTTGCATTCTTGTTGGGGACCATCACAAGTAGACTAGGAGGGTTTATGAGAACAGAGAGAGATGTTACTTTCAAATGTTTCGTAGGATATATAGTGAGGGTGGATGGGGTGGGTGTGTGCGTGTGTGTGTGTGTGTGTGTGTGTGTGTGTGTGTTTTCTTTGTGGGGTTCTTTTAAGAAAGGGAAGATAATCTACCTCTCCCAAATGACAGATACCTTTTGGACCAATCCACAAATAAAATTGTCTCTGACTGAGAAAGACGAGGGGCAGGAGCAGTGTAGTTTCCTTGTAGCCCTGATGCAGAAAGACAGAAGGAAACTCAAGAGATTTGGTGCCAACATGCTGACAATCGGCTATGCCATTTATCAGGTAGGTGGGAGCCACACTGCATTTCGGAGTTCCCCATCTGAGTTCTAGATTCGCAGCTCCTCCTTGGTCTCATGCCTGAGACTCAACCGGGAATCCATGAACTCAGTCCGAAAAGCCAAGAGGAACGTCCCTAGGAAACCTTTCCCTTACTTGCCCATTGCAGTGCCCTGACAAAGACGAACACCTCAACAAAGACTTCTTCAGATACCACGCTTCTCAGGCCAGAAGCAAGACATTCATCAACCTGAGGGAAGTCTCCGAACGGTTCAAGCTGCCCCCTGGGGATTACATCCTGATTCCCAGCACTTTTGAACCCCACCAGGAAGCTGATTTCTGTCTGAGAATCTTTTCAGAGAAGAAAGCCATTACCAGGTGAGTCAGAGGAACAGCTTCCAGAATCCCACTTTTTTAATATATATATATATATATACTTTAAGTTCTAGAGTACATGTGCAGATCTTGCAGGATTGTTACATAGGTTTACTGCCTCCATCCCCATGTTACCTACATTAGGTAATGTTATCATTCCCCCACCTCCCCACGGCCTGCTATTGCTCCCCTAGCCCTCCACAACAGACCCCAGTGTGTGATGTTCTCCTCCCCGTGTCCACGTGTTCTCATTGTTCAACACCTACTTATGAGTGAAAACGTGGTGTTTGGTTTTCTGTTCTTGGGTCAGTTTGCTGAGAATGATGGTTTCCAGCTTCATCCATGTCCCTGCAAAGGACATGAACTCATTCTTTTTTATGGCTGCATAGTATTCCATGGTGTACATGTGCCACATTTTCTTTATCCAGTCTATCTTTGATGGGCATTTGGGTTGGTTCCAAGTCTTTGCTCTTGTGCCACAATAAACATACGTGTGCATGTGTCCTTATAATAGAATGATTTATAATCCTTTGGGTATATACCTAGTAATGGGATTGCTGGGTCAAATGGTATTTCTGGTTCTAGATCCTTGAGGAAGTGCCACACTGTCTTCCACAATGGTTGAACAAATTTACACTCCCATCAACAGCGTAGGAAAAGTGGAAGTCAAATTGTCTCTATTTGCAGATGGCATGACTGTATATTTAGAAGACCCCATCATCTCAGCCCAAAATCTCCTTAAACTGATAAGCAACTTCAGCAGTCTCAGGATACAAAATCATTGTGCAGAAAACACAAGTATTCCTATACACCAATAACAGACAAACAGAAAGCCAAATCATGAGTGAACTCCCATTCAGAATCCCACTTCTTTTAGTGATTTATTCACACAGATGTCACCCGAGAAATACTAGAGCCAAGGCTACATTCTTCCCTTTTCCATTATGTACCTGAGAACCAAGGCAGGACAGTTTCTTTTCTTTCTTTCCTTCCTTCCTTCCTCCCTCCCTCCCTCCCTCCCTCCCTCCTTTCTTTCTTTCTTTCTCTTTCTTTCTTTCTTTCTTTCTTTCTTTCTTTCTTTCTTTCTTTCTCTTTCTTTCTTTCCTTCTCTCTTTCTTTCTTTCCTTCTTTCTTTCTTTCCTTCTTTCTTTCTTTCTTTCTCTCTTTTTTTTTTTTTTTTTGAGACGAAGTTTCACTCTTGTTCCCCAGGCTGGAGTGCAATGGCGCAATCTCAGCTCACTGCAACCTCCACTTCCCGGGTTCAAGTGATTCTCCTGCCTCAGCCTGCCAAGTAGAAGGAATTACAGGCACCTGCCACCACTCCCAGCTAATTTTTTTTTTTTTTTGTATTTTTAGCAGAGATGGGGTTTCACCATGTTGGCCAGGCTGATCTTGAACTCCTGACCTCAGGTGATCCACTCGCCTTTGCCTCCCAAAGTGCTGGAATTACAGGCGTGAGCCACTGAGCCCAGCCCTAAAGTCTTTAAGTTTTAAACACTCCACCAGAGAATTTTTTTCCAGGCTTCTCGCAGATACTAGTACAAGGTGACAATGAATATCCTACTATCTGTTCATACAAAAGTACCCTATATGAGATCCATGTAGACTGGCATCTCTAATGGGTGGCAAGAACAAGAAACAGAAACCCAGGTTATGCCAATGCCATGCCTCTTGTTCTCTCCCCATTAGTGGGGTGAGCTCAGAGTTACTGGCATGCGTAAGGTAACTTGTTCACGGCAAAACAAACGCCATACTCAAGCTTACTCTGAACAAGATACTTGAATCTGCTATGATATTGAGCATAAGAATCAGCTCTGTAGCTTGGTAACAGAAATTCACACTGAGCTCTCCTTGCATTGGCTTAGCTCTCAGACAGGGTCCTGATCAAACAAACAAGAGTTCTGAAAGGGCTGTGTCAGGTGTGCCCAGGGCATGGGGAGGAAAGGGAGGACTACCCTCATTCGATGTTAATGCTTATTTATTTGTATTCCCTTTGACTTTGTATCAGTTTTTCTTTGACTGTATTCTTCCAAATGTTTTTAGCATCATCAAAAGCTGAAGCCTGCTCCTCCTCTTAATATTACTATTATCCAAATACTACAAACTCCCCTAAATATGTGAATAGCAAAATAAACATGATTGCATATTTTTTTCTCTTTTTTCCTAAGATAAGCACACAGATACCCATCCCTCCCCAAACCTGCCAGTGGAATCAGGAATATACATCTGTGAGGAGAGGCAGGAGTTAGGGACGCAGCTTCAAAAGGTGGTCTTTAGGCTGGGCATGGTGGCTCATGCCTGTAATCCTAGCACTTTGGGAGGCCACCGCAGGAGGATCGCCTGAGGTCAGGAGTTTGAGACCAGCTTGGCCAACATGGAGAAACCCCATCTCTACTAAAAATACAAAGATTATCCAGATGTGGTGGCATGTGCCTGTAGTCCCAGCTACTTAGGAGGCTGAGGCAGGAGAATCACTTGAACCCAGGAGGCAGAGGTTGCAGTGAGCCAAGATCTATGTCATTGCACTCCAGTCTGGCCACAAAGTGAGACTCTGTATAGAAAAAAAATTGTCTTTTTGGTTCTGTAATCTTTTAAAATGCACCCCCTCCCCAATGTTTACCACCCAATAGGCTGAATGGTCTCCAACAGCTATGTGTCTCCTTTGAAGATGAAGAGTTCATGGAGAGTGAATGTGTAATGAAACTGCTCTGTTTATGGGAGGTGCTACTATTCTACAAAACACTTTATCAGTTGTCCTTGCTAAAGTGCATCAAAGAAGTAGGGAATCACTGCTGGCTTAATGTCTTTTAGTTCCATAAATCCAGAATGCCCAAGTTCTTGGTGATGGCTGATATAGTTTGAGTATGTGTCCTCACCAAATCTGAAGTTGAATCATAGTCCCCAAAGAGGGGCCTGGTGGGAGATGTTTGGGTCATGGGTACAGATCCCTCATGGCTTGGTGCTATCCTCATGATTGTGAGTGAATTCTTTGGAGATCTGCGAATAGTATGTGGCACGTCCCCCACGCCTGCTCTCCTGCTTTTGCCATGTGATATGACCGTTCGCCCTTCTCCCTTCTGCCATGATTACAAGCCTCCTAGGCCTCCCTAGAAGTCAAGGAGCCAGGTCAACTTCTAGGGAATAGTACCATGCTTCCTTGTAAAGCCTGCAGAATTGTGAGCCAACCGAACCTCTTTTCTTTATAAGTTAGCCAGTCTTAGGTATTTCTTTATAGCAGTACAAGAAGAGCCTAATATAGAAAATTGGTACAGAGGAGTGGGGCACTGTTAGAAGGATACCTGAAAATGTGGAAGTGACTTTGGAAGTAGATAGCTTTGGAAGAGTTCAAGGGCCTCAGAAGAAGAGAGAAAGATGAAGAAAAGTTTGGAAGGCTGGTTTTTTAGAGGCTGGTTAGATAGTTATGACCAAAATGTTGACAGTGATATGAACAGCGAAGTTCAGGCTGCTGAGGTCTCAGATGGAAATGAGGAACTTACTGGGAACTGAAGTAAAGGTCATGTGTGTTATGCCTTAGCAAAGAACTTGGCTGAATTGTGTCCACGCCCTAGGGATCTGTGGAAGTTTGAATCTCATAGTGATTATTTAAGGTATCTGGAAGAAAAAATTTCTAAGCAGCAAAACATTCAGGATGTGGCCTGGTTGCCTGTAACAACCTATACTCAGATGTGGGAGCAAAGATTTAAAGTTGAAACATATATATTTAAAAGGGAAGTGGAGCATAAAAGTTTGGAAAATTTGCAGCCTGGCTGTATAGCAGAGAAAGAAAAAGCTTTTTCGAGAGAGAGCAATTCAAGCAGGCTGTGGAGCAACCACTTGCTAGAGATATTTACTTAATTAAAAAGAAGCCAAGTGCTAATATCCAAGACAATGGGGAAAAGGCCTCAAAGGCATTTCAGGGACCTTTGCAGCAACAGCCCAGCCCATCTCAGGCCAAGAGGCCTAAGAGGAAAAAATGGTTTCATGGGCCAGGCCTAGGGCCCCACTTTCCTGCTCAGACTCAGGATACTGTTATCTGCACCCCAGCTGCGCCAGCTCCAGTCTCTGCTCAAAGGCACCGGATAGAGTTTGGGCAGCTGCTTCAGAGGATGCAAGGGTGCAAGCCATAAGCCTTGGCAGCTTCCATATGGTGTTAAGCCTGCAGGCACACAGAATGCAAGAGTGAATGAGGCTTGGCAGCCTCCACCTAGATTTCAGAGGATGTACGGAAAAGCCTGGGTGCCTAGGGAAAAGCAGGGACAGGGCTCTCACAGAGAACTTCTACTAGGGAAATTCAGAGGGGGAAATGTGAGGTTTGAGATCTTGCACAGAGTCCCCACTGGGGGTACTGCCTAGCAGAACTGTGGGAAGGGGGCCGTCATCCTCTAGACCCAAGAATGGTAGATCCACTGGCAGCTTGCACCTTAAGCCTGGAAAAGTCACAGGCACTCAACAACCCATAACAGCAGCCAAAGTCACAGGGACAGAGCTTCCCAAGGCCTTCGGATCCCACCCCTTGTAGCAGTGTTCCTTGGATGTTAGACATGGAGTCAAAGGAGATCTTTTTGGAGCTTTAAGATTTAATGACTGTACTGCTGGGTTTCAAACTTACATGGCACCTGTATCCCCTTTCTTTTGGCCTTTTGGAAGGGGAATGTTTACCCAATGCCTGTATTCCCATTGTATCTTGGAAGTATACAATGGAATTTGTATATCTTGGAACTTGATTTTGATTTGACAGGCTCATAGGTGATGGGACATATATTATCTCAGATGAGACTTTGGACTTTGGACTTTTGAGTTAATACTGGAATAAGTTAAGACTGGGGGATTATTGGGAAGGCATGATTATATTTTGCAATGTGAGAAGGACATGAGATTTGGGGGGCCACAGCAGAATAATATAGTTTGAATATGTGTTCCCACCAAATCTGATGTTAAGTTGTAATCCCCCGTGTTGGAGGTGGGGCTTGATGGGAGGTGTTTGGGTCATGGGGACAGATCTCTCATGGCTTGGTGCTATCTTCACAATAGTGAGTTTGCATGAGATCTGGTTGTTTAAGGGTGTGTGGCAACCCCCCCCACCCCCAACCACTGGCTCTGCTCCTGCTTTTTCCATGTGATTTGCCTACTCTCCCTTCACCTCCCATGATGATTGTAAGTTTCCTGAGGCCTCCTTAGCAGCAGAGCAGATGGCAGCACTATACTTCCTGTACAGCTTGCAGAACCGTGAGCCAATTAAATCTCTTTTCTTTATAAATTACCCAGTCTCTGGTATTTGTTTACAGCCGTTAAAGAATGGCCTAACACAATGGCTGTCCCTCTTATTTGCATTCTGGGCAAGGTCTGACTGACTAAGCATGGCTAAGGGTAGGGGTGTCAATGCATGGGGTCTGCAAACCCTGTGAATTGCAAACACCACTGAACAATAAGGGGTTCAATGGGACAGAACCTTCCTACAGCTCTGGGCTCCTCAGCTCTGCAGATCCCAACGAGAAGTTAATCTACGATTAAGGCAGCGTGCTTTTCTGCCCCCACAGGGATATGGATGGAAATGTAGACATTGACCTTCCTGAGGTGAGTCTTCTGATGTTGCTATGGGGTGGAGGATTCAGGTGATGGTTCTGGAAACCTTCCATCTAATCACAGCATTACGTAAAACTCAGCAGTTCAGGGAATGGTTATATGCAATCAAGTAAGCATCTGTGATTCTAACCTCCTGGAGACCAGGATGTATGTCTTCTAGTCTGCTCTTCCAGTCCTGACAGGACCTGGCATGGGAGCGAAGTGGGTGCTTGGTATAAAGTTCTGTTCTATGTCATCTTTCTCTGTGCTACTGTCAACTGAAATAACAAACACAGAGACACTCTCTAAAAGAAAAGGTATTTATCTGGGGGAAAAGCACTGCAATGGAATATGCGTGCCATAGTAAACTATGTGCATATTTGGGTGGGTAAAGGGTTGACAAAGGTTTTTAAAGGAAAAAAATGAGAAGGATTACATACTTGTTTTGAAATAATTATCCTTGGCTATAAAGATCAATAACAAAGGTGAGCCCAGTCTGATGTTGGACAGGCAGTTCCTGAGCGGAGGTAGAAGTATTTTTGTATAAGGTTGCAAGGGCCTCTGTGAAAGGTTGTGGTTTTTGCAGCCTTTTGTGATATTTTTGTTATCAGGCAAATAAGCATGAGAACTTTCTGACCTTCCCAAGCTCTATTTGTCAGGGTTTTCTTTTTCCTTTTTTTTTTTTTTTTTTTTTTTGAGGGGTGGAGTGCAGTGGTGCCATCTTGGCTCACTGCAACTTCCGCCTTTAGGGTTCAAGCGATTCTCCTGCTTCAGCCTCCTGAGTAGCTGGAACTACAGGTGCCTGCCACCACACCCAGCTAATTTTTGTATTTTTAGTAGAGACAGGGTTTCATCATGTTAGCCAGGTTGGTCTCGATCTCCTGACCTCATGATCTGCCTGCCTCGGTCTCCCAAAGTGCTGGGATTACGGGTGTGAGCCACCACATCCAGCCTAATTGTATTTCAAGAAAAATAAATAAAAAGTAAACCAGAGAGGCAGGGAGATTTTTTTACTGTGGACTCAGGGTAGCATATTACGTCTCTCTTACATTGTGTGTGTGTGGACGGGGAGACCTGGGGGTGATTTCACCCTTGTCCAAGTGCTGGAGGACACTCACAAGGCACTGAGAAACTATAGCTGGAACAGGCCGACACACCCAGCATCAGCAGAGATCGGGTTTTAGGAGGAAATTTGCTGCTCCGTGCTGGGGCACAGCTTATTAATGGTGCTAAAAACACAAAGAAACAAACAAAAAAAATACCCAAAACATTTACTGAGCTCTTTCTATGTACCAAGCCCAGAGCTTAGTGCTAGAAACAGACTCTTGCCTTCAACGATTTTACCATCTATCAAAACAGATCAATGAAGCAAGTCATTCCAGTCCAAGGTACGAGGTAAGCTAGAAGTACAGCAAGTGTGAAAATCCAGTGGCCAGGAGCTGACTTAGGCAGGTGTCAGAGGCCTTTAGCCTCCTCATCTGTAAGATATCTAAACCCAGGGGGTGTCTAACGTAGTATATTAGGCACTGCGATAAACAGACAAGGCAGGGAGATTAGAGGACCACAAGATGGGGTGGAGAAGGGCTCCATAGGTGCAGCTGATGAAGTCCTTCTAGTCTCGCCTTCTAAGGGGCCTTTGTGAGGAAACGTTCCTCATGCTACAGGACGTGGCTTGCACACGCTGCATCGGGAGCGGACATGGGGCTGGCACACAGGGTCCTGGCTTCTTTCCTGCTATTTTTGTCATGTTTCTTTTTTGTGGATCATTTGGTGCAAGTTTCTTTGGCTGTGTTTTAGCCTCCGAAGCCAACTCCACCTGACCAGGAGACAGAGGAGGAGCAGCGGTTTCGAGCTCTGTTCGAACAGGTCGCTGGTGAGGTAGGACACGCCCCGCTTCCATTTCCCTACTGGGCTGAGGGCCTGGGCCTGGCTTCCCAGCAAAAGGTTGCAGTCATGGGGTTGGTCAGCAACGTCGAACTGAGGCATGATAGAGCTTGTTGCAAAGTAAGATCAGCACTGATCACTGAAGGTCAGAAGACTGCCTTGTTTACAACATCTCTTACTTACACGGTCTGCCGCCATGGACGGGGCCAGTGAGCCCAGAGGAGCTCGGAATGGGCCCAGATGCTTTTTTGATTAGTTCTGTTTTGTTTGAGACAGGGTCTCACTCTGTTGCTCTGGCCGGTGTACAGTGGTATAAGCCTACCTCACTGCAACCTCAAGCTCATGGGCTCAAGAGATCCTATCACCTCAGCTTCCTGAGAAGCCGGGACCACAGGCACTTGCCATCGTCCTTAGCTAATTTAAAAATTTGAAGACAGAGTCTCACTATGTTGCCCAGGCTGGTCTCAAACTCCTAGGCTTCAGCAATCCTCCAGCCTCGGCCTCCCAAAGTGGTGGGATTACAGGCATGAGCTACCACGTCTAGCCCCAGGTGCTTTCTTTAGGAGGCTAGAGCAAGCCTTGAACAGGTGGCTCCTTTGAACTCTGCCTGAAAATCACTGCCATTAGAATTCTCTCTGCTGTAGTCAGAGGGGGTCCCTATTAAATTGCAACTTCCTGTCCTTGGTCCCCCACCCATCCCAGCCCTTTCCACTGCTCAGCTTCCTTTTTGTGGATCCTGGATGGAGAGCCCCACACAGATCCAGGCTTCTCCTCCACCTGCCGGGTTTGGGGGAGAGAAGTCTTTCTAGAAACTGCCCCACAGGTGCTCACTTGGAGCCATAAATAAGATGAGCTGATAAATTAATTCATGTCCAGGTGCTGATTACTCTGTCAGCTTCCTATGTTTCCCCAAACTGGGGCTCCTGAATTATGAAAGGGGTCACCTGGAGGGGTGATATCTAAATCTAGGGGGTGTCTAATGGTAGTATATTAGGCACTGCAATAAACAGGCAAGGCAGGGAGATAGGGGACCACAGGATGGGATGGAGAAAAGGGGGGCTCGTGTGACTTTGCTTAAAGTACAGCAGGAAGATGGCCGAGTGCAGCCCTGGGCGGACAGAGCGTGGCGAGGGAGGAAGGCAGTGGTGACCGCCCTGCTCCAGTCGCTATCTGGAGCACACTGGGTCACACCCAGAATGACAGGCTCAGAGGAGTTGAAGAGGTTCATGCAGGAGGAATAGAAGTTTTCAGACAGAGCTCCAGAGTTTGGGAGGGAAGTGGGGAATGTTGCAGGAATTTCAATGAACCTTTATTAACAACCAGAAGAGTACCTCTAGAGTTCAGTCCTCCACTCACATCCTGCTTTTTTTCCAAGCAGTTGGATGACTTGGGCACATTGCTCCATTTCTCTTTCCTCCTCTTTCAGTGGGGGCCTGGCTGCAGCAGGGCTTTCTTACCAACACCAAACATCCCATACCCCCATTCCCCAGGCACAGAGGCTTCAGGATAGCCATTCTTAACATATCTGTATCTGCATGTATGTACATGTGTGTCATATGCGTAGACATATGTTAGAACATTTCATCACTTCAACAAGAAACACTTTACCCATTATCAGTGTTAACCCTGTACTCCATTTCCCCCAGTCCCAGGCTACCACTCATCTACTTTCTTTCTCTATAGATTCAATTTACATATTCTGAATGTTTTATATTCAGAAGCACCCCGCAGCGTACCCCCGCACAGCTAGCGCAAAATCCTGACCAAAATGAGCTCAATATCAGTGATACTCAAACACACATGTGCATACCGTCACCTGGGCATCCTGGGAAAAAAAACACAGATTCCTCATCAATAGATCAAGAGCAGCCTGGGCAACATAGGGAGAGCCCATCTCTGCAAAAATAATCAGCCTGGCATGGTGGGCATGCCTATAGTCCCAGCTACTTGGGAGGGTGAGGTTGGAGGATTGCTTGAGCCTGGGTAATAGAGGCTGCAGTGAGGTGTGGTCACACCGCTGTACTCCAATCTGGATGACAGAACGAGACCCTGTATCAAAAATAAATAAATAAATAAAATAGGCCTGAGACTCTCCATTTCTAACCAGCTTCTGGGGTGAGGCCTGCCGAGATTTCCCAGAGTGTCTTAGATCTGTGATTCTGAAATTCACCCTTATTCTTAATTCTAAATAAGTCCCTAGGTCTTAAAAACAGGACCATATCCCCAGGTCATCTGACTTCAAAGGTCCCTGGGGTAAGCCCCAGATGCGGGACTGTTTTAAAGCTCTCCAGGCAGTTCTACTGTGCAGAGGAAGACTCAGGATGGTCTTCCCAAACTACTTCCAAAATAAGAAGCATCTGAGGAGCTTAGGACAATTCCAGGGGTGGTTCTGAGCCTCAGGGAATTTGGGCAACCACTGCCTTGCCCTGCCCAGCTTTCCATGTGCTTTCCTGGATTGGGATGTCTCTCCAGTTAGGCTCTCTCCTAGTTGGGCTGGCATGTCCTTGAAGCATGTGACATATGAGACATGTAGCCGCAGCTACACAGGAGAGGGGCGTCTGTCCACAGCAGGGTCCTGAAGGCTGGTCTGTCACTAGAGCCAAATCAAGCTCAGAACTGATTTAAAACAAACAAAAAAAAAAACTACAAAAGGTGCCAAGGGCTATAAAAAGCAATTATCTCCACTTAAAAGGGACATGGGGGGACCACCAGAGGAGCTGAGTATGTTTTAAATGCTGTGCTGCAAAAGAGTAAGTGCTGCCCCCATCGGGGTCCCGGGGCACCCATGGAGGGACGAGCAACCACACCGCCTGGGTCCCCTCCCGCCACCCCCCAGGCTCCCTGCTCCTCCGAGCTGCAGACCTGCTTCCCAGGGCTGACTTGTAGGTGGACTTTCAAATAGCTGTTGTCGTTTGTATCCTGATCCCCAAAACGATTCAGGTTTAAGTAGAAATTTCTTAAAAATGCTGAAAAGCCTAATGACAATCACAAATGATCTCACCACCGTAAATAACCACTCTTAATATATGTGTACCTGCATGTATGTACATGTGTGTCATATGCATAGACATATAATGCTAGAATGTTTCATCACTCCAATAAGAAACCCTTTACCCACTAACAGTGTTAACCCTGTACCCCATTTTCCCCAGCCCCAGGCAAGCACTCATCTACTTTCTTTTTCTATAGATTTGATTTGCATAGTCTGAATATTTTATATAAATGGAATCATAGGCCAGGTGCAGTGGCTCATGCCTGTAATCCCAGCACTTTGGGAGGCCGAGACTGATCCCCCAAGATCGGGAGTTCAAGACCAGCCTGGTCAACATGGTGAAACCCCGTCTCTACTAAAAATACCAAAAAAAAAAAAAAAATTAGCTGGGCTTGATGGTGAACACCTGTAGTTCCAGCTACTTGGGAGGCTGTGCAGGAGACTTGCTTAAACCTGGGAGGCAGAGGTTGCAGTGAGCCAAGATTGTGCCACTGCACTCCAGCCTGGGCAACAGAGCAAGACTCCGTCTCAGGGGGAAAAAAAAGGAATCATACAATACATGTCCTTTCTGACTGCTTTATACACAGCATGGTGTTTTCGAGGTCCATCCGTGCTGTAGCAGGTATCAGTGCTTCATTCCTCCTTACAGCCAAATAACATTCCATCGTATGGATGGGCCCCATTCTGTTTATTCTTTCGTATTGGTGGCTATGAAGGTTGTGCCAGTTTTTGGCCATTATGAATAATGCAACTGTAACTATTCCTGTGCAAGTGTTTTGGGTGAGCATGTGTTTTCACTACTCTTGGGTATATAGTTATATGAGGATGTTCCCATCACCATGCAACAGTCCATGGTTAGTTACGTGGCGGCATAACCATGCTTTTAACTATATGTTTAGTTAAGAGGATTGTTTAGGTTTAATGTTTTAAAAAACGATCCAACTGTTTTCTAAAGTGACTATTTCACATTTTCACCAGCAGTAGTATGGGAATACAAATTTCTCCAACAAATTTAAATCCTGCCATTAAATATGCTTCAAAAATTCAATTCCTAAGGGTTGTATAATGCCCCATTATATAGACATAGCTCAGTATATTGACCATGTCTTTCTATTGGTCATTATTTCACTTCCAAATTTTTGCCACTATAAATAATGTGATGACCAAAGTCTTCCTATGTAATTCTTTGCTCTGGATTTGGAGAACCAGAGTACATGGATGAAGGCACGCTCCCACTTTGATTGCTTTCTTCCCATTTTGCCAATTTTCCTTCCAAAAGGCCCTATTAACTTTTACTCTTACCAGCAGCATAAGAGAGTTCCAACATCACAGCCCCCGACAGCCCCAGATTTAGCCACATGATTGGGCTTTCAGCAGATGGGGTCATAGATTTATGTTATTGGGGTCAACTGAATTCAGCTTTCATGTGCAATTTCAGAAAAGGACATCAAATTCAAGAAGCTAAGCCTGATCTCCTGTAAAAACATCATCTCCCTGATGGACGTATCCTTCCAAATATTTGAGCAGAAGCAGACACTGATGCTGGGCTTTAAGCACAGTAAAGTGATTTTCAATAGTGCAGACGCTCTGAGAACATGACATCCTTAGCCAGCAGAATGTTCTTCTTCACAGAAAATAACCCAAAGCTGGGGAACCCTGATGCTGAAATTGGATCAGAATCAAGATGCACAAGACTGCCCCGTGGTGGGGTGGGGACCTTTTGAAGGGACTTGGGAGTCTTTTTGCCACTTTGGGATCCCGTCCAAGGGAACAGAGTTCTGTTTTTGTGAACTTTCTGGGGCCACCCCCATCCTACCTCTGCCATTTCCCCTCTTCAGAGATTTGTGGTTTAATCATTAAAACCACTTCCCCAGGGCCCCAAACCTGTGTCACCTAGGCCAGCCTATCGGCCCTCTCCCTCTGCAGTCCCTGAGCTGAGGCCCCACAAAGAGCCTCAGGTTGAAACGCTGCTCACGTTGTCTCCCTTAACCCACGTGGCACAGACCAGCGGCAATGGGAAGCTAGAGTTTGATGAATTCAAAGTGTTCTGGGACAAGCTGAAGCAGTGGATTGTATGTAACCTAGAGCAGGGCGGGGCCTCTGGGGGACCCCGCGAGCCTAGAGCAGAGGGGATTTAAAATGGTGCAGCAGCCTTGCAGGCTAGAGGAGCTGTATTTGGAGAGGGGAGAAGCCATGCTCTTACGATGCTTACGGGATTACACTGTGCTTCCACCCAAAACGAAAAGAAAGACGAAAGGGAGACTGACTTATTTAGGAAGGCCCAGCCCACCTGTAGTCTCTGCGGCCCCTGGAGGGTATCTCTCCCGGGCTCTGGGCTGGCTGTCCTCTGCTTACTGCCATCGGCGATGCCCTTCAGGCATGCTCCTTCTCAATGCCTCTGCTCTCTGCCCTTTAGAACCTTTTCCTTCGGTTTGATGCTGACAAGTCCGGCACCATGTCTACCTATGAGCTGCGGACAGCACTGAAAGCTGCAGGTAAAGACTGGAATGCAGGTGGCTGACTGCCCATGGCGACCTGAACAGATGGCAGGTCTTCTCTGTGCTGCTCAGGAGGTGTGCCTTGGAGCCCAGTTGGTGCTTCTTAAGGTCATAGCCCTTGGAGTGGCAGCACCAGGGTTCAGACCCAGGACTCACTTGCTGACACCAGGGCCCTCATTTTAAACCACTGTGAACATAGGTAGAAACTTTGTAAATATATCTGCTAAAAATGAACTTGGCCTGCCCTCTGGAGGCCTCATAGCCTCTGACCATGTTTTCTGGCCCAGCACCTACACATGGCTCGTTGGTGGCAAGCTGCCGTGATTCCAGACTTCTAATTTCTGCTCTCAAATAGATGGTTGTTATCATGGATGAGACCGAGCATGCAGTGCCCATGGTTTGGGGACCACACGTCCCTCTGCCACCTGTGGCCCTGTCCCGGGCTTTGTCAGCAGAAGATTCTGAATCCAAACTGGATGACTGAGTCATAGTTTATACCCTTCTCCCTTTCATGAAGGCTGGGCTCCAGCTGGCATTTTCCACCCTCGGTCCACCGCTGGATGGCTGTTGGCCTCTCTGTGGTCCTGTGTACTGCACACACAGCCATAGTTTCCATGGGCGCTCTGCAGCCCTCCCATGCCAGGCCCCCTGTGCTTCTCACCAAGCATACCTCACAGACAGAGGCCTCTTGAACCTTATAAAGTGGTTCCCTCACAAGGAAAGCAAAAATCTGGAAACATGTCCAGGCTCCGGCCTGATAAAAGGATGACGTATACACAGCCAGGATCATCTCGGGTCCTGTGAGAGGGGGAAGAAAATCAGATGACTTACAAATGAGCGAAGTGCCAGGCTGAGAAGGACGCCGGACTCTCTTAGAGGATGGTGACCCTGTTTCCAGGGTAGGAGTAGGAACTGAGCAGGGAAGAAAGAGTGCTCAGAAAGGAGGGGCGTGCCCGGGTCTTTCCTACCTTGATGTGGCGTGGGGGGATCGCCCCACATCCTCCTCCTCTAGCCCCAAACACCCCGACTGCCATGCAGGCTGGAGACTGTGCTCTGCCTCTGACCCACCTGCTCCTCCGCTGTAATTAGGAAGAAGCAGAAAGACCCTGGGTGGATTTCTGAACATTCCTGCGAACACTTCCTCAAAAGTGAACATGTAGACCAAAATAAAAGGGGGAAAGAAAGCACTTCTAAGGGCACTGATTAGAAATCAAAGCACTAAATATTGGATCTAAAAGGATCTTCACTTCGTCGAGACCACTCCCTTGACAATGAGGAAACCAAAGCCCACGGCTAGAGCAGTGCCAGGGCTCAGATCCAGGCCTCCTGGCCGCAGCCTGGCGTTCCTTCCCCATCGTGGATGTGTGGAAATGGGCCCCTGGCGCAGTGTCATTCACCGTGGGCAGCAGCATCCCCTCTGAGAAACGTTCTAGGGCCACAGTTGGAAGTGACGTGAGACGTGGAACACGAGGGGAGATGGGTGGAGGAATGAGTGTGGGGCTCAGACACCAGCCAGCGCGAAGTTCTCCCAAACAAAGCTTCCTGTAAAGCCAGCAAGACCCTGTGGGTGATGTTGGCGTCAAAACTAAGATCACGAACTCACTAAACTCAGAAGGCATTAAACACAGAAAGCACACCCGAGAGTCCCCAGCATGACAGATTCACACTCTCACGCTGCATTCACACCAAGGGCAGCAGTCCCACTGGGTCTGGGGACCCCAGGTTTGGGGAGTGGAATAGTGGCTCCCTCTTGTTAGCCCTCTCCTTGGCTGCCTGGGAGCTCCCTGGAAGGTACAGACACTGCAGGGCTCAGATACGGTAGGTCCTGGGTCTCCTCCTTCCCCACAGGTTTTCAGCTGAGCAGCCACCTCCTGCAGCTGATCGTGCTCAGGTATGCGGATGAGGAGCTGCAGCTGGACTTCGATGACTTCCTCAACTGCCTGGTCCGGCTGGAGAACGCGAGCCGTAAGTGTCCAGCGAGGCTGAGGGTGCACCTCAGGTGGCGTCTCCAGTCACCCTCCGTGAGCTCATGAGAAACAGCCTGGTGAAAGTAATGGCAGAGGCAGACCACAGAGAGCCATGGTCTGATGTGTGCAGACAGGTGGGACTGTGCGGTTGGCTACGGGGCAGGATGTGCTAGCCTCCCTTGCAGCGCGTTTCTCAGCATCGCCTGTCTTTATACTTTCATAGTGCCTCTGCAGGAGGATGATGGGGCAGGGGGCAGGTTTGTGCCTTCTGTCTGAGGAAAGGTTCAATTTCAGGTTAAATCCCATCATAGCATATAGAAACAGGAGAGTCTCAGTCCCTCCTCCTCCCGCTTCCGTGTAAGGCCTAGACGTTGACCCAGTTATCTCAAACAAGATTTGTTAAACCAAAAGTAGACAGAGATTATGTGCCGGTATTCTTCGGTATTTGCAGTTTATCGTCATAGCCATCCCGCCCCTCACAGGTGGTTTTGAAGGTGAGAACGAGTGAAGCATGTCCAGGGCCTATAACTCAGCACCAGGGTGGCTATGAGGACATTCCCTCTGTGCAGCTGCTAAGGGACCCATGCCTCCAAGGGTTCCTCGTGCTTGGTTTAATGCTCCGGCATTTCCATCTTGAAAGCCTAATAACTTTGAAGCTCGGGGTCCCGCATTTCCATTTTGCCTTGGGCCTTACAAATTATGCATCTGGTCCTGCTTGGTATTTTCTAAGCTATGTTCCATAGGCCACTTCAAGGTATGAATATTTGATTTTTTTTTAAAGGCAAGGGGCTGGGCACGGTGGCTTAGGCCTGTAATCCCAGCACTTTGGGAGGCCAAGGCAGGTAGATCATAAGGTCAGGAGTTCGAGACCAGCCTAACCAACATAATGAAACCCCATCTCTACCAAAATTACAAAAAATTAGCCAAGCATGGTGGTATGCACCTGCCTGTAATCTGGGTTACTTGAGAGGCTGAGGCAGGAAAACCACTTGAACCTGGGAGGTGGAGGTTGCAGTGAGCCGAACTGCACTCTAGCCTGGTGACAGTGCAAGACTCCATCTCAAAAAAAACAAAGGTCCAGGGCTGTGACCCTCGGTTACCAGCATGACACCTCCCTCTGCTTCTTTGGTGACAGAACACTAATTACTTGCTTGAAGCACAGCCCCTCTAGACTCTAAACTCCAGGAGAGCTGTAATTGGCAGGCAATCAATGAATATGTGTTGATTAAGAAATTATGAAAGAAAACCAGAGAGAGGCGAGCAGGCCCCAAAGACCCTCGTATGTCAAGCCAGGCAGTTGGGCTTTCCCTTAGAGGAAAGCAGCTGATGAGAGGTACATTATAGAAAGACCCCTCCTGAAAGAGATTCACTTATTAGACTTACAGGGCGGTCAGAGCTGACCCTAGAAATAATGAGGTTGCTAGTTTCTCTTCTCTCAATTGCTCTTCCCCTTTCTAAACCACCCAGGCCTAATCCTTCCCAGCAAGTGGGCTGGGAGTGCCTCAGCTTTTTCTTATAATAGAGGAATATTAGGGTGAAGACCCTTTAGGCTTCACACCACGCACTCTGGGATCCTCACATTAGATTTGCCTGGAGAGCTTTTACCACTACCAAGGATGGAGCTTTACTCCAGTATTATTTTAACTTTTTATTGTAAAAATTTCAACCCTCCACTTAGATATAAAGAATCACAATAGGTTCCCATGCACCCCACACCAGCACTTCTCAAACTTTGCTGTACATTACAAACTCCAGGGGTGCCTAAAGAAATGTTGATGACCAGGCTGCACAGAAGGCCGATTATATGAGAGTCTCAGGGTGGCACACAGCATCAGGATTTATACAAACTTGCCAGGTGTTTTACACCCAGCCTCAGCAATGATCATCTTGCTTTTTCCTTGTGCTCCCACAACATACACTTTTTCCCCCTAAATAATTTAATAGCAGATCTCAGAAACTCTGTCCATTTATCTGAACATCTCAAGCCAATAGGCTTGTTTTTAGCATCATCCTCATGCCATTTGCATGCCTAACAACATTCTCTGCAAACCCTCAGCATCCTCTAGTGCCCGGTCCACGCCAAAATCTCCCAGGCTGCCTTTCTCCAGTTGCGTGGTTGACTCAGGATCCACACAAGACCCATTCACCGTGTTTGGTTGTTGGGTCTCTTGCATTTCTTATGTTCAGTGACAGTCCCCCACCCTGCTTTGGGTTGTATTGTTAAAGCTGCCCGTGTGGTTCTCAAGTGAAGCCAAAAGCTCTCTCGTCTTCTAAAGGGGAGGAGGCAGAGGCCCCGACAGGGCAGTGACTTGCTCTGGTGACATCATGCGGTAGGCCCAGCCCTTGGCTCCGTGCCGGCATGCTCTCCTGTGCCACGGGACTCCTGTCCTGTGACAGCACCCACAGTCCCTTCCTACGAGAGAGAGACTAACAACTTTCAGATTCATGCAAAACTTTACTTCCATGTGCTTTTTTTCTGGGGCCTATGGATTTCAAGGGACCTGTAGCCCCCACAAGGTTAAGGTAGGGGAGATGCTTTGGCTCCCAGAGCTGCTGGCTGGCTGACTGGCTTAGGCGACCACTGGCTTGCCGCAAGAATGGAGGCTTCCATCGGTTCAGATAAATTCCCCCTCAGCCGGCCCACGTCCCACCGCCACCCTTGATGAAAGTCCTCGTTTTTACCACTAGATGGAGCAGCTTCCCCACAGTCTCCACTGAAACGCCCTTTGGTCCCTGGGAAACCCAACTTGGTAAAGGAATTGTCTCTACAAGGATGTCTTTCTCCCGTCTCTCCTATCAGGGGTGTTCCAGGCTCTCAGTACGAAGAACAAGGAGTTCATTCATCTCAACATAAACGAGGTATGGCCAATCCAGACCCTCTGCTCAGGGACCAAGCCATGCCCCATAAATGTTTGCTGAGCGCATGATTTCATGTGAGGGCTGACATCTAGCTGTGGGAGTGATTACAACAAAATAGCTAGTATTTTTGAGACACTACTTTTAAATAATCAATTGAATCATCACAATAATTCTGTGAGCTAAGTACCAACAGTATCCCCATTTTGCAGGGTGGAAACTGAGGCATAGAGCCATTAATTGCCTTGACTGGAGTGCGTGAGCAGACTCTGCCTTCGTGTCCTTCTCTTCCTTCTGTCACTTGGGTAACTTAGCCTGCCTGCCTTCCAGCTGCCAGTTTGCTCACTCCCCCTTGTTCATGTTGTCCTGTGGCTCCCATGATGATCCCCCAAACCCCAAAAAGTGCAAAACTGGCCAGTTACCGGGGCCATCAGGGCAATGACAATGGGGGTGGGAGACGACGGGTCCCAGTGTCAGGGGCATGGAAAAAGGATTCCAGGGGGTTTCAATCACCCTCTCCCCAGAGGATCCCTGTGGACCCCTGCTGCTCAGTGGGTGGTCTGCGGGCCAGCAGAGGCATATGCGTCACTTAGGAGAGATGGTTGGAAATGCAGAGTGCCAGGCCCTGCCCCAGGCCTGCTGAATGGAAGTCACCTTTCACAGGACCCCAGTGATTCCTGTGCACATAAAGCTTAAGAATGCTCTGGAGACATTCTCCCACCCAAAGGCAGAAGGGAAACTGGAGCAGTTCGCTTCAGTGGTTTCTGTAATTGTTATCTCCTTTTCCTTCTTTCCCTCCCTGCATCTTTCTTTTCAGTTCTCTCTTCTACCTCACACACCAAAGCCAGGAGCTGCTGCCTCTGAGGTTTCTCTCTCCACCGATTTCCATGTCACACTCACAGTCAGCTCATTTCCAAATTCAGCGGTAACTTTGGGTTTGGATAACATTTTATTGAATATTTCAAGACAAAGAGGTTGATGACAGTTTGTGTATTAGAGGAATTGTACCTCCTCCCCTTTTTTGTGCTCTGATTTTGATTAATCAGGCTGCTCCGTGCCTCGGTTTCACCATTTGCAGAAAGTGACATGGCCTTAATATTACACAAAAAGTTTGCTTTCTAATATAATTTGGCAATTATGGTGACTCATCACTAATTTTCTCGTGTGTATCTCAGATCCCTGGACACGTTATAATTTTATTGAGAACATAAACTGGGCATTTTTCTTCTCTAGTTTTGTCTTTCACCTTCAGCATGTAGACACATTTAATAACTATACCTCCTTTGATCACTCCAAGACTCCAAAGAAAGATGTGCACACTCAAACTATTCTATTATGAAAACAAGAGGAAGCCGGGCATGATGGTGTGCACCTGCAGTTCCATCTGTTCTGGAGGATTGCTTGAGGTCAGGGGTTTGAGGCTTAGTGAGCTATGATCTCACCACTGCACTCTAGCCTGGACGAGAGTGATGGCAAGATCCCGTCTTAAAGAGAGAAAGAAAAGAAGAAAGAAAGAAAGAAAGAGAGAGAGAGAGAAAGGAAGGAAGGGATATCTATATATATAGAGAGAGACCCCTAGGTCCACCTTTATTTATCATTTACTTTAAGGTAAACGATAAATAATGTCACTAAGAAACAACATGAAGAAGGTGTGATGGCTGCCCCTGGTCCAGGGTGGGAGGAGAGAGTGGGAAGGTTTGTTACTCAGTGGCCTCCTAACTAGTCAAAGGCTCCAAAGCACCAGCAGCATGGAGGAAGCATTCCATTGCTTCAGGTTCAAGGTGGAAGTGTGGACACCTCCAACCCAAGTGCCCACAGGTGTGGGGGCTTGAATGGGCTCTTGTCCTGCCCCATATTATCACTCTGCAGGACAACAGGAAAAACCTTTGCGTTCTCTCCCTCTAAACCTACCATCCTTACATCTGGCTGCACGTTAGCATCACCTGGGATTAAAAATCCTGATACCCCAGCCCCTCCCTAGATCCATTAAATCTGAAACTCTGGGGGTGGCCCAAGCAATTGGTATTTTTTAAATTCCCTTGGTGAGTCCAGCGTGCAGCCAAGTTGAAGTATCCCTGTTTTAAAGTCCGTCTCCTTCTCCCCCGACCCATCCCCGGACGCAACAGGAGCTCTTCCTGGCTGAGTTGGCCTCACCTGCCGTCACTTTACTGAAAGAGCCTGTGCACCTTTCATTACAGTAGCCCCGGTATTATATACACTGTGCCCAGGAAGGAGGACAGAGAGGGGAGAAAAAAAAAGTCTCAGATAATCACGTTCTCCCAAGTGATTGATAAGTAAGCTGCTGGGAAGGAGGAGGCAGGGGTAACTCAGGAGAGAAAATGAAGAGGAATTGCATCCTACTTCTTCACCTCACTTGTAACACCCCCCAGCTACAGAGCCTGCTTCCACTTTCTGCAACCCCTCCGTGGTGGAGGGCCACCTCTCTCCCAAAGCTGAGAGGACCCCTCATCAACAAGGAAAAGCCATTTAATACTTCCCTGTATAAGATGCCTCAGTGAGGCTGTCCTCTTAACAGGGAGAAAACACATTTTCCCGTCTCTGTCTTACCATCTGCGCTTGATGTGAGCTCACTCAGAAAGGGCTCAGGACCACCAGAAAATGCCAAGTGCTGAGAATTCGTTTATTTTCTTTAAATGGTTTCCTGTTGAGGCAGGCATCCAGGTTGGTAGGCAAAATGATCAAATAGCAGACTTCCTGTGATGTCAGCAAACTGGGACCTCTCCTGAGCTTGAGGCTGGAAGGAACATGGAAGGACAATGAGCCCTCATCTCTCTCTCTCTGTCTGTCTCTCTCTCTCTGTCTCTTCCCAGTTCATCAATTTGACGATGAACATCTGAGGCTGCCTGATAGAGATGCACCCTGCCCAGCTGAATCTTGGCTTCTGGACCTTGACCTTCAGAACTTCTCCTGGCGTGGAACGATCGCGCCCAGCCCTCTCATCATCCGGCCTTCTCCCTTCTCCATCTTGATCTGGGAAGAATGAAATGAACCCAGCTATACTCTCTGATTCTGTGCTACTCCTTTGTAAAGTCGCTGCCTTAAGGTGGCTGATGGCACCATCTGTGCCTTACACCCAGGTTCAGGCATCACTAGCTTTCCCACACTCTACTTCCCTTCCTTCCATTAAGAATTACTCAGAGTTCTAACGCACAGAATCCGGCTTCCATGTAGCTTCAGTCATTGTAATCAGACATCCTTTATAAAACATGTTTTTATAAATGTGTATGTGGAATAAGATGAGGGAGAAAGGAGTGAGGTCATTATTTGGCATTTCTGCATCCTAAGTTTGCTTCCTTATCGGGGAAGACATCAGATAATTCTGATAATTGGGCAAGAGTGGATATCTGATAAGAGCGGATCAAGGTGACAATCTCTACCTCCTCCTATGACAGGTGGTAACCAAAACAGTCACTGTCCAGTCCAGACATTCTTTGTGTCCAAAGACTTTGGGTCAGGAAAGCGGAATGCTCTTATTTCTTCTCGAGGAGTCCAGATTCTGGTGAGGTTTGATCTTATTCATCCCCAGTGTGATGGGGAAAACAGAGCAGAGAAGCCTCACTGTAGCTCACCAGTGCTGAACAGGAGAATCCACTGAGTTGGAACAATGGGAAGTAACATGAGAATATACTGGCTCAATACATGCCAAGATCCGCGTTCTTACTGGTACATTTGTGGCAGATGAGGTGGAGGATGGGAACGGGGGATGCTGAGAGGGAAGGAGGGAGAATGTTTGGGATGAAGATAAAGTTAGAAGTGGAGGCCGGGTGCAGTGGCTCACAATTGTAATCCCAGCACTTTGAGAGGCCAAGGTGGGTGGATCACCTGAGGTCAGGAGTTCAAGACCAGCCTGGCCAACATGGCAAAACCTCATCTCTACTAAAAATATAAAAATTAGCAGGGTGTGATGGCAGGCACCTGTAATCCCAGCTACTCAGGAGGCTGAGGCAGGAGAATCACTTGAACCCAGGAGGCGGAGGTTGCAGCCTGGGCTAGAAGAGCGAGACTCAGTCTCAAAAAAAAGAGAGAGAAATGTAGCTTCATCAGAACCCTGTCCCTGATCATGGCCAGGTCTCCATGACCTTCTCCTTTACCTTCCAGCCCTTCCCTGGGCTCACCCAGCAATGGATACAGGACAAGAGCCCTCTCTCAGGAGCAGGCTTAGGACCAAGGCTCTGTGCTGGGGCGCGCCAGTACAATCCCAGACACGCCATCTCCTGTGCTCGGTCTGTGCGCACTCTCATTGGTGCACACTGCTGCCATATTGTTTGTTAAGATGTTGTGAACACTAACCCTGCTCACAGGTAAAGCTTGGAAGGGGGCTCGCTGTGTGAGCTCCTTTTCCAGTGTCACTCCCACAGGGTGCTTCTAGGCTTTTACGTCCAGGAGCACTTAACTGTCTCCCACCAATTTTGCCTGGGCTTGAAAGGTACCCAGGAGATGATGTTTCTGAACTGAGTGTCCTGTTTTCTTTCCACCCGTATGTCCCTGGCAAAGTTTTTTTTTTTTTTTTTTTTTGAGATGGAGTTTCGCTCTTGTTACCCAGGCTGGAGTGCAATGGCGCGATCTCGGCTCACTGCAACCTCCGCCTCCTGGGTTCAGGCAATTCTCCTGCCTCAGCCTCCTGAGTAGCTGGGATTACAGACATGTGCCACCATGCCCAGCTAATTTTTTCTAGTTTTAGTAGAGACGGGGTTTCACCATGTTGACCAGGATGGTCTCGATCTCTTGACCTCGTGATCCACCCACCTCGGCCTCCCAAAGTACTGGGATTACAGGCTTGAGCCACCACACCCGGCCCTGGCAAAGTTTTTAACCTCTCTGAGACTTGGTTTCTCCACTCACAGGGATGGTAATTTCTGCCTCACTGAGATCTTGTGATAAATACATGAAATTGTGAGTACAAGGCACCTGGCACAGTACTTGACACGTAACAGGCACTCACTGCAACTAAGGCCCACTGATGCCAACCAGTGTTTTCTTAAATGTCTAAAAGAGTTAGATACTATCACATGCTTTCTGTTTACCTCTGTTCTTCATTACAAGGATGCAAGGATTATAGAACTATCAGTCTTGAAGCAGAGTTCAACAGGGCTCTACAGACTACTGTATGATCATGAGTTGAGAACAGAAAAAGAGTGTATGCATTTAGCTTCTATTTGCTTCTGAATTATATGGTCTGATACTGACACCCGGAAGTGAAGATGTTTTATATGCATTAGTTTAATTTGACTATAGAGTAATTTTTGTAGCTTACAATTCAAACCAAAAGCTTTTGAGTGTTAAAGGAATAATATTAGTTATTACTTCAGGAGAATAGATGTAAACTGGAGCTGTCCCAGGAAAATTGCAATTTATGGCCATTCTCATTACGTCCATCATCACCTGTGTAATATATACTTTAGGTCTTGGCACCTAAAACATTCATGCCCTGCTACCTTTAAATTAAACAATAGTGGCTGGGCATGGTGGCTCATGCCTGTAATCCCAGCACTTTGAGAGGCCAAGGTGGGTGGATCACCTGAGCTAAGGGGCTTGAGATTAGCCTGGCCCACATGGTGAAACCCCGTCTCTACTAAAAATATAAAAATTAGCTGGGTGTAGTGGTACACATCTGTAATCACAGCTGCTCAGGAGGCTGAGGCACGATCACTTGAACTCAGGAGTCGGAGGTTGCAGTGGGCTGAGATCGTGCCACTGCACTCCAGCCTGGGTGACAGAGTGAGACTCTGTCACAAAAATAAAAATTAATTAATTAAACAATAGTATACATGAGCTATCTAACCTACTGCTTTGCACCAAAATCACTTGAATCACAAAGAGATACATACTTAGACACATTAAAGTCAAACTGTTGGGAAAAAAAGAGAAAATCTGAAAAGCAGCTTGAGAAAAATGACTCATCACGAACAGGGAGCAACACAATTAGCAACTGACTTCTCATAAGAAATGCAGATGACAGAAGGCAGTAAAATGACATTCCAAGTGCCAAAGGAAAAATCTTTCCGTCAAGAATTCTATTTTTCCACCAGAACTGCAAAAATGAAGGCACAATAAAGATATTCCTAGTTAAAGACTGAGAGAATTCACCATTAGCCGGCCTGCCTTTGAAAAATATTAAAGATGTATTGCAGGGTGAAAGGAAATAAATCCAGATGAGACTGTGAATCTGTAGATACAAATGAAGGACACTCAAAGGGTATCCGTGGATAAACAAAAGACTATATAAACATGTTCTCTTCCCTTCTAATTTTGTTTGATGACATCAGATTATATAAAGCATTCATTATTGCACTATATCGTTAGGTTTATAACATATAGAGAGACATATAAAGGAGAGCGGAGGAAACGAGGTATTAAAGCAATATTTTTATATTCTCTTGGTAATACTGACTGAATTAGATATTATATGGTTATAAATTAAGATGCAGATTGTAATCTACAGAACAACCAAAAATATAGTACAACAGCAGAGGAATCAAAGTAGAATACTAAAAAAAATGTTTAGCACAAAAGCAGTAAGTGTCATAAAGGATCAATACATTAGGAATATATAGTAATTACAAATATGATAATACCTAATGGCAGAGTCTCAAAATTACAAAGCAAAAATGACATAATTAGAAGAAGGAATAGATGATTTAGATTTAACATTTATGGTTGAGAGTTCAATACCCCACTTTTAATAACTGATAGAACAACTATTCAGAAAATCAACAAGGAAATAGAAAACATGAACAAGACAATCAACCGACTTGACTGACTGACATTTATAGAACACTCCACCCCCAAGTAATTAATACACATTCTTTCAAAAGCACGTGGAACATTCTCCAGGTTAGACCATATACTAGACCATAAAACTAATTTTTAATATACTTAAAAGAATTTAAATCACTCAGAGTATGTTCTCCAGCCACAAAGGCATTAAATTAGAAACAAAAATAAGTTTTGGAAATCCTCAAAATTTAGAAATTAACACATTTCTAAGTAACTATGGGTTGATGAGAAAAATTACAATGGAAATTAAAAAGATGTTGAACTGAATGAAACAAAAATAAACTGTGTTTACACATCTCTATACACATCAACATTAACAGGATGAAGCTAAAGCAGGACTTAGAAAAGGAGAATGTTCTCAAAACAATAATTTAAGCTTCCATTTTAAGAAATTAGAGAAAGAGAGAGGCAAATTAAACCTTAAAAGGAAAGAAATAAAGACTAGACACAAATCAATTAACTAGCAAAGAAAAAAATAATAGAGAACATCAATGATATGAAAAGGTGATTCTTAAAAAAAGATTGCAAAATTGATAAACTTTTAGCTAAACTGATCGAGAAAAAAGAGAGAAAACATAAATTAAGAATCAGGAATCTAAGAGTGGGCATCACTACTGATCCATCAGAAATTAAAAGAATGATAAGTGAATATTTTAAACAACTTTATGTCAACAAATTAGACAACTTGGAATGGAAAAATTCCTAGAAAAAGATAAATTACCAAGACCACCTTCAGAGAATACTGAAAACCTGAATAGACCCATGTATTAGTCCATTCTCACACTCTAATAAAAACATATCTGAGACCGGGTAATTTATAAAGGAAAGAGATTTAATTGACTCACAATTCAGCATGGCTGGGGAAGCCTCAGAAAATGTACTACCCTGGTGGAAGGGGAAGGAGAAACAAGGTACCCTCTTCACAAAGCGGCAGGAAGGAGAAGTGCCAGCAGGGGAAATGCAAGGCACTTATAAAACCATCAGATCTCATGAACCTCACTCACTGTCACAACAACACCATGGGGGAAACCGCCCCCATGATTCAATTAACCTCCACTTGGTCCTGCCCTTGACACATGGGAATTATAGGGAGAACAATTCAAAGTGAGATTTAAGTGGGGACACAGCCAAACCATATCAACCTACAACATGAAACATATGATACCGTATCAACCTATAACATTTTGGTCCTCAGACCAGATCCCTTGGGCTGTGCCTGGAGAGAGCCTC